GGCACTTTTTCCTCCATTGGTATGCCCAGTCACTAATGGACCATGCAGATAATGTCTTGTCTCTAGCGAATCTTGCTTTTGAGGAGACCAAGATTATTGTTAAGGTATGCTAGTAGTGCACAAAATATGCCTGTCGAAAGCTAAATTTTAACTTTTTATATTGTTCATCTGCATGACTTGTCATTTGTTGTCTCTTTGTTAATAAATGCTTAAATAGTATGTTGCTCATTAATTTTTAACTACTTTTCATGCAATTCTCATTCTCTTTGCAATTTCCTTCTAACACTGAACCTGGATCCTGTGCTTTATTTTATCCTGGTCATTAACTGGTTCCAGGTCTAAATGAATCAGGCTATTAGGTAATTCAAAGTGCATTTTTAAGTGCTGGAAAATTGCATAATCTCTTATGTTAATGTGGTCGTCTATTATAGTTTTGATGAATGACCTGCATGGTTTTGAACTGAACAAAATAGATGTCATTGTGGTCAGTGCGTGGCTCCTGAATATGATCTCTAATTAGAGCTTGCACAATATGAGAAAATAAAAAGGATTAATTATGATGCTCACATGCAGATACCTGCAATTTACTGGTGGTACAAGACTTCCAGTCATGCGGCGGAGCTAACAGCAGGATATTATAACCCTACTAATCAGGATGGATATTCTCCAGTGTTTGAGGTTTTAAAGAAACATTCTGTGACAATGAAGTTTGTGTGCTATGGGTTGCAGATTAGTTATGGAAATGATGAAGCATTTGCTGATCCAGAAGGTTTGAGTTGGCAGGTGTCTTTCTGATGTCCTATGAGGCTATGACTTCCATAATCACTTTAAGCTACATAGATATTTCCTTTTGTCATCTATTGAAGTGAAAACTCTTCAAACCATTTAGTTGCATGCTGTCCCCTATAATTAAGGTAGGCAGTTTGCAAGAATATTCTTTGCTGCAGATTGTATTATCTGGCCTCAAACCAGTTGGTAGTACTACATTAAAAAGTTCAGGTTAACAAGTCTGCGAATAATATCACTTCGGACTCACTAAGATGAATGGACCTGTGAATGATGTGGATTAAAAATGACGCAGTAAATAAACTGACCCTTATACCATGATAGCCAACTGTTGAAACTAAAAGTTTGAAGTATTAGGTTGGAGTGAACTAACGTGATTTCCTAGTACTTCCTTTTTTCCGGTAAGTGTATTGAACTACAAGTGATCAACCACTTGCACTGGATTTATCATGATATGAAATTAATTTCTTGACTGCAAGGTTAAGCAGTAATACACACACACACGAACAAGGTCGCAACAAATGTGATCTGATTAAACAATCCATAAATTGTAGGCAATATAGTTTTGAAGGTTATAACGTTCTGCCACAGGTTCTCACTTCTGCCTGGGATCGAGGATTGAGCGTTGCTGGTGAGAATACACTTTCATGTTATGACAGAGAAGGGTGTTTGAGAATAATCGAGACAGCCAAGCCGAGAATGATCCTGATCGTCGCCACTTTTCATTCTTTGTCTATCAACGGCCATCTCCTTTAGTTCAAGGAGTAATAAGTCTCTCAGATTTCGATCACTTCATCAAATGCATGCATGGTAAGAATCTTAAATTTTTTTAATTGTTTCAATGAAACGGTTAGCCAGTTAGTCCCCACATAAAGTTCTGTTCTTAATCTGTTAGGGTTTGAAGCAGCATTCAGAACATGTAGTCTTCTAGAAATTGTATGATTTATTGTGTGCATAAAATTCTTTTTCTAAATTTCCATTTTTTGGGCAAATATGCATGCAGGAGATATCAGCAGTGATCTAGTGCCCTGATAATGGTGGATGTTGATCTTTCTTTATGCATATACAAAGTAGAAAGTAGCGTCAATTTCGATTGTAAGCTGACAATATTAACATGAAAGTTGTAGTACTGTAGGTTTATGTTAGGCTTCAGCTCTGGTCAGAGATTATACTGATTTTTGGTTGCTTGTATTTTCTGTGTTCTTTTAATCATATGTAAATTAGATATTAGTCAATATTAAGTTATGATATTATGGATAATATTGCCGAGAAAACAAGGTATTGTGATCACATATTCATCAACCTTGGATCGTGCATGTATCGTGTGCTTTGAATAAAATGTTCTTTTTTAATGGTTCAGTTCAGCGCAACGTCCATTCAAAACCAACTCTGCTGAAAAATTTAAATATTGATCTCAACATTGACATATTGTCATCTTAACACAACAAATGTATTCCATCTTCGAGATTGGCATGGGGTGACGTTAGTGGTAAAAATGGAGTGTTTTCTCATTTAAAGTTTTGGATTTGAATAGTTGTGTTTGTAGTGGATGTGCGTACACCCTAAACCCTAAACCTAGATTAGTTAAAGAAAATCACGACATCGGCAAGGTCCTCTTCTTACCTCCACCCAAGAAAGAAGGTATTGGGGTCTGCAAAATGGTGGCCATAATGCCATATTGTCAATTGCCACTGTTTAAACTCCACTTTTACCCCCAAAGATTTGGATCCGGGTTCGTTTGTCCACTCCCCTCAACTCTAGTCACCAGTAAGAGATAAAATTTGATGTGATTTGATATGATCTCCTCTATAAATAAAAAATAATAATTTACTATAAACGTAAAAGTTACATAGAATATATATATCTCAAAACCTAGTGTAAGAAATACGAAGAATCGAGATACAACATAAGAGATTCAAGGCAAATAACAAAGGCAATATGTGAAAGAGATGCAACACTCTCCAAGAGTTTATCAATAAAAACTGTAATATTCTCAATGGAGAACCATCTCTATTTATAGAAAGGTAATATTGAGTATTGGAGTAACAGTCTAACAAGCCTAACTATTTCTCTACCAGAACTCAGACTTTAACAACATACATTTGAACCGTACTCTAACTGAACTATTATCTTAATATGCAAAAGCACTTACCTTAACAGGAAACACTTGCAACATAAACCTCAAAAATAGAAACATTGGCTTTTATAGCCATCGACGGTGTGGCTCTCGGACCGGTCACAGAAGGGGCACCTCGGTGAGTCATCGAGCTATGTGATGACTCACCCTTAGAGCAGCAACGTGGACGGCCATCTGGGTCTTCTGGATCCTTCGGTGGTGGCGAGGCGTGACGGTAGCTGAAGTGTCAACGTGGAGATGACAGCTGGCGTGGGGCGGCTGGAACTCACTGGAAGCTTGAGGCGGCGGCTGGAGCTAGGGTTTAGAAACCCTAGCTGAAACCCCAAATGTTTAGGGTTTCTGGTTGGTCTGGGCCGATTCAGTTTTGTTTGTAACTGGGCCGGTTCAGTTTTGTTTGTAACTGGGCCGGTCCAGTTTTCATTGGGCCTGTTTGTAAATAATAATTATTTAATAATAATATAATACATACAATATAATAATAATATTTAATAATAATAATAATAATTTTAATAATAATTTAAGTAAAATGAAAAATTGGTGTTTACAAAGAACATAAACATGTTATTTATTATTATTCATTTTCCTTTGAGACATGTCCTACTGTTCCAAGCAGTATTTTGTTGGGTTAGTATCGTTCCAAGCACTATTCTGGGCAAGGAAAAAGAATATTATTAGAATGAAATAATAATGTAGGCAAAAGTAAGAAACCGAAAATGACACAATCTGCATCCACATCAAAATCCGAGACAACACTACATGCACTGCTAAAACACCTGCACATACCACCAACACCGGTGAGATCCCACATTACCAACATTGGTTTGCTTCGTCTCGTCTTATCTGAATTTAGCAGCCGCGGTGGACATAAAAACTTGTTCAGCAACCAGCACATAGAAAAAGTCCATAAACAATTTAACAGTGACAGATTATTGCACCTCTCACCAGTCATGCAAATGTGTCAATCATCTAGATAATAAATTGATCCAGCGGTTTTGTTCCCGGTCCTTAGTTGAATCTAATTTGTTGATTCTTGGTCGGCAATTGGTAGGGTCCCGCCTAAAGTAATGCCCAAATGCTGTCGAGTGCAATCAAGTGCGAGAGTGAGCACCAAAAACCACAAAAGCAACGTGTAACGACAAATTCGAAATGAATAGGGTAGTGAATCTAGAAATGAACGTGAAACCAAAGAGAGAGCTGCAGTGAGACTCACAGATAAGAAGAGATTCACGCCAGTCAACAACGACTGAGGCGAATTTGCAATACAATCCACTGAGGGCTTCCCCTCATACACTATTGTCGTAACCGTCTTTCGGGTAGACCCGAATCGGACTTCGACTTAAATAAACATGTTAGAACCGCCACCGATCATTTTTTTAAGAAATTAGGTTGACCGTACACTTTAACTTACCATCTTACATGATCTGCGTTTTACCATAAACGTATCGGATTCAGGAGTTGATTACAGTCAAGGAAGGATTAACACCCTTATACTGCCCTTTCGGTACCAAATTTAATTTCTCGATTGTCTTAATTGCGAAAATTAAAAGTTAAATTGAAACTTAAATATTCGATCCAAATTATCAAGGGAAACAAGGCAATTGCAGGACAATTCTCAAAGTTTCTATATTCATCAAACACATTAGTGTCCATTGTTCAGTATCTGTAGCTGTATATCACAAGTAAGAGGAACAATCCATTTCCAGGTGATCATTCAACTATTACTATCTTAACAGCACAAAACTGGTTCAAAACTTCAAATTGCATAAATTTTACTCCAGGGATGCTCAATGGAACAAGATAGGGACTTGTACAATGCTGGGAGTATGGTTAAAGTAGAAGAAACAAAATGGCAACAATTAGACTATTTTTTAGACTTGCATTGATTATCACATATTGTTTATTTCATGGAACAAATATTAAAATCAAGGTTAGAAGTTGGTTTTGCCCCAACTCATTGAATAACCTAACTTTTTAAGTTTTCAGGAGAACTCTGAAACAAACTAGCAAGATGAATAAAGAATGCCTTGACAACATTGGAGCTCTGCCATTCATTAAATTCTCGTAACCTCCCCAACAGAAATATGTCTTTATATATATATAAAGACAGGACTTGAAGATGTAGAACCAAAATCTTATGTAAAGAATCACCTTGAGGTTATCTTCCAGGATGCGAGTAAAATAATTCTGTAACTCAGGTCCTCGAAAATAGGTAAAGATTTACTGCCAATCAGGAGGGTTCTGCAAATAGATTGCCCAAATATGTAAAGAATTAACATTCATAAGGAGCAATCAAAGAACCAAGGCCACAGAGAATTACATTGAAACGACCCAAGTTTGGTTTCAGTTTCCCTGCTAGAACTTTAAGGGCTGTTGATTTCCCAATGCCATTGGTTCCAACCAGGCCAAGAACTTGCCCAGGCCTCGGAACTGGTAACCTAAAATTGCAATTTAAAACCATCTCAAACAGAAGTGGGAAAGAAAGGAAAAGGAAAGCTACAAAATCTTGCAGGAAAAAGCATGAATGAACATACCTGTGTAATTTGAAAGTATTGGGGCCATATCGATGGGTTGTGTCTTTATCCAAATCTCTAGGTAAGTTGATGATCTGAATTGCTTTAAATGGACAGTTCTGCATGAGAAGACCAGACATTCAACTAAAGTGACATGTACTTTTAAGATACGAGAGTAAAATTACAAACCTTGACACGGATACTACAACCAATGCATAACTCCTCAGAGATGAAAGCAATCTTTGAGGCAGCACTAACCTCAATACATAACTTCCCTGTATATAGAGTAACAAAAGTGCGATAATTTGCTGAAATATAACACATAATAAACAAGACACACGGGCTAGAAAGACAGTGAAAAGCTCAATGATAAGTGTTTAAGCATTAACAACTTCCAAAAGGCAAAACTTGTGCCAAAAATTACATGTATAATAAGTGTCGTAACATCAAACCAACATCATTCGTCAAAATAAATTAAATAATTAATTAATTACCTGAAAAACGAATTCATAAACTCAATTCTAATAAGGCAAAATTAGATTACCTCAACTAATATCCGCGAACAGGGAGAAAAAGAAAAAGAGTAAAGATTACTGGTTTTAACAACAGAGCAGCTCTTCTTGCACTCTTGGAGGCATTTTTTAGGCTTGCAACGATCGGAGCTGACGATGGCAATACGCGTCAAGCGGTCGGCCATTTTCCCTCTGATATAAGAAGAAATCAAATACTGTTTTAGTTATCTGGGGATTTGAAGCTTCCGTTATGCTTGTGGGAAACCGAATAATAAAACAGATAGCAGGGTGTGTGCTAGTAATAGTGCTACTACTGCTTTGCTTGGGACATAGATATCCTTCGGGCATACGCGCCGCACCTGTATGTATAATAACCTGAGCCTACCTCCCTTAGGGCACAGGCGCCGCAATTGTTTGGAGATTGATCCTCTCGAGATGATCAAATTTTTTTATTTTTTTCTTGTTAATTTTTTTAATTCCCCTTTGATAGAAAATGCACGCATCACATCATCTCATGAAAGCAGGTTATAATCTTAGCCAGCCATGAAACGTAAGGTCCTTTGGTAGTGATCTACGAATCATTAGCTTCATTTTCCTTTTATTCGAATTCGCCAACGAATAAATTACAGCTGAAAAAAGTTAAATTTATAAAATTTATCATCAATGGGGTGAACAACACATCAGCCCTTCACTATTTCAAATTTCAGACTCCGAACATCTATTATCCAGTCTGAACACTACTGCTAATACTGATACTAACACAAGCCTCATCCCATCTTTAACCTATGAATACAACATTCTTGGTTCTGGAAGACTGTAGGGAGCGATAGCAGCTTTGAACAGATCTCTCTCTCTCGCTCTTTCTTTTTCTATTTCCCGAGACCGAAACTCGGCTACATTTTGGTGAATGGTGAAGTGAGGGCTTCACAAAGGCAGATGATCATCCTCTGGGGTTTGAGGTGGAACAGGTTTCCAACCTGGTTTTTCTTCCCAATACATGTCGTAGTATATGTGTCCAGGAATGTGGTAGTCTACACAGCACCATATACCTACATACCGCTTTACACGATTCCTGAATTTCTCCTCTCTCGTCTGAGTGTAAATATAACATATCATTCGAATCTATTAGTATAACATACATATCTAAGACGTATATTAACATGAAAGATGAAACAATGGAAGCAGAAAGTAGCAGCTTGATGAAAAGACTTGCCTTGTCTGTGAAACCATGAAAAGCATCTTGCATAGAAGAGAATTGAATGACTTTAACATCCTTGAACGAAGAGAACACCGTCTTCAACTGTAATTTTGAATCAGAATTCAACGAGGTCAACACCAAGCCAACAATGCTAACATCTGATTTTATTAAGAAATTGTGAATAGTATGATAAAGAGCACTAATACCTTCACAGTGACTTGGTCACATAGGATAACATACAACCCAGCTAACTTATAGCAATTTTCCAGCAGGAGCTGCTTTACAACTTTTACTACTTATTCACCAAACTAAACTAGGACTAGTGATTAAATGAATGAAAAGTACACCTCATAATATTAAGCAAACCAAAATTTTAATCAACAAAGCTCTTACTTGTGTTACTTCGACAAAAGAATTTGTGAGTCAGTTACGGGTATTTGTCCGACACGGGTATGTCCATTCGTTTTCAAGTTTTTTCATGTATTTGGAGTCTTTAGTAGGTCATATCCCATACCCATGTTAGACACAGGTGTCAGGGGTACTTCAAGACAAATGAAGAGTCGGAGAAACATAGGATCTTACCAAGAAGAAATCAAATACTGTTTTAGTTATCTGGGGATTTGAAGCTTCCGTTATGCTTGTGGGAAACCGATAATAAAACAGAGCAGGTGTGTGCTAGTAATAGTGCTACTACTGCTTTGCTTGGGACATAGATATCCTTCGGGCATACGCGCCGCACCTGTATGTATAATAACCTGAGCCTACCTCCCTTAGGGCACAGGCGCCGCAATTGTTTGGAGATTGATCCTCTCGAGATGATCAAATTTTTTTATTTTTTTCTTGTTAATTTTTTTAATTCCCCTTTGATAGAAAATGCACGCATCACATCATCTCATGAAAGCAGGTTATAAGCTTAGCCAGCCATGAAACGTAAGGTCCTTTGGCAGAGATCTACGAATCATTAGCTTCATTTTCCTTTTATTCGAATTCGCCAACGAATAAATTACAGCTCAGAAAAGTTAAATTTAGAAAATTTATCATCAATGGGGTGAACAACACATCAGCCCTTCACTATTTCAAATTTCAGACTCCGAACATCTATTATCCAGTCTGAACACTACTGCTAATACTGATACTAACACAAGCCTCATCCCATCTTTAACCTATGAATACAACATTCTTGGTTCTGGAAGACTGTAGGGAGCGATAGCAGCTTTGAACAGATCTCTCTCTCTCGCTCTTTCTTTTTCTATTTCCCGAGACCGAAACTCGGCTACATTTTGGTGAATGGTGAAGTGAGGGCTTCACAAAGGCAGATGATCATCCTCTGGGGTTTGAGGTGGAACAGGTTTCCAACCTGGTTTTTCGTCCCAATACATGTCGTAGTATATGTGTCCGGGAATGTGGTAGTCTACACAGCACCATATACCTACATACCGCTTTACACGATTCCTGAATTTCTCCTCTCTCGTCTGAGTGTAAATATAACATATCATTCGAATCTATTAGTATAACATACATATCTAAGACGTATATTAACATGAAAGATGAAACAATGGAAGCAGAAAGTAGCAGCTTGATGAAAAGACTTGCCTTGTCTGTGAAACCATGAAAAGCATCTTGCATAGAAGAGAATTGAATGACTTTAACATCCTTGAACGAAGAGAACACCGTCTTCAACTGTAATTTTGAATCAGAATTCAACGAGGTCAACACCAAGCCAACAATGCTAACATCTGATTTTATTAAGAAATTGTGAATAGTATGATAAAGAGCACTAATACCTTCACAGTGACTTGGTCACATAGGATAACATACAACCCAGCTAACTTATAGCAATTTTCCAGCAGGAGCTGCTTTACAACTTTTACTACTTATTCACCAAACTAAACTAGGACTAGTGATTAAATGAATGAAAAGTACACCTCATAATATTAAGCAAACCAAAATTTTAATCAACAAAGCTCTTACTTGTGTTACTTCGACAAAAGAATTTGTGAGTCAGTTACGGGTATTTGTCCGACACGGGTATGTCCATTCGTTTTCAAGTTTTTTCATGTATTTGGAGTCTTTAGTAGGTCATATCCCCTACCCATGTTAGACACAGGTGTCAGGGGTACTTCAAGACAAATGAAGAGTCGGAGAAACATAGGATCTTACCATAAAACTAATCACTACAAAGGATCTATTTCAACAAAAACATACGAAGTGATTGCTTCCCTATGAAAAAGATATTTCAGAGCAGAAAATAAAGAATCTGCCATACCATTTCTTCACTGCTGTGTTTAGGAAATCTTAAAAGACCTGGTTGACTTGTGTTGTTTGATGCATGGCAATCTTTACTTCCTTCTTTACAAAGCTGAACATCAAGCCACGACTCTTTTACCTGAAACAACATCTCAAACTAAAGTTTCAAGGAGGAAAACATAGAAAATAAACAATTTAGTCTATATCACTGGTATTAATTTACCTGTTGGGTAATAGTGGATTGTTGAAAAGAGAGTATTCTCTGATGTTGATTGCAGGACCAAATTCCTCCACTGGAAGATCTTGCAACATTACATTCACCTACACCAATGGATACTGTATTCCTCAGAATTATAAGTTTTCATGCTCGAAATAAAAAGGCATCTTCTCATGATAGAACTCTGAAGAAGTGGAGCTCAATCAGAAGACTCATGGACTAAATGAACCACATCTTTTAGTTGTAGATCTAATTGGTTCTTGAGTCAATTAAATATACCCAGACTTGAACCCTTTTTCTAAAGATGGAAAAAAACCCTTCAAATATTGATATTCATTGAGAAAAGAAGTGTGAACCAGCCAGAAGATAACTACGTGACTGTAGAATAAAATTATAAATAAGATGACAAAGGAGTTGATAAGAAGTTGGTAATGTGCATTATGATCATAACTATGCTCACTTCACACCTCCCAAAACACTCAAAAACAGAAACCCAGGATGAGTTCTCAGGACTGTTCTGAACTTAGATTCAACTGTTGATTTGCACTGCAACAAGCCACCCTTGCCTACTAGAAGAGAAGAAACTTTAAACCTCTAACCGCAACATTCATCTGACAATCCTTAATCATCGTATCATATCTTTAAATGGTGATAAAAGAAGGTAGCTTGTCCAATGAAAGTGAAACATGACATTAAGCATTTTAATCAGTAAACTAAAAGTCCATGAGAATGCCTAGTGCAGCTCTTTCCACAGCTCCTTGCATTTTATGCTGTAATTTAAAGAGATATTGGTTAATTTCATGGATTCACAGATAAAAAGAGGGTGAAAAAACTGGGACAACATGCAAAGGAGAGTTACAGGAGAAACAAGAAAAATGCCTAATGATTCTCACAATCAACTAAAATGTACCTCAAAAACATGGTCCAAAGGGCAGAGAAAAGGTTGTCTAGTCATTGACCCCACCAGAGCTCCAGGATGTGGAAACCACAGCCTATCCAACCTGCACCATAGTGGAGGCATAACCTGAAATTTACAGTGAGAAGTAAAAAGATGAATAGATAACCTTGTACAAATGCAAAACCCCAAGTTTACATTTGGAATGTATAAGAGAATTTTCACCAAACAATGAGAAACTGCATGCACAACAGATTTCATTGGTTCATTGGTATGAGGAACTTTTAAATTATAAATCATTTTCCTCGATTACTTTTGTTACCACTAGGCACAAGTAAATCAGGTTAAAACTCCTACTTTAAGGGTGTAAGAAAGAATCTTTTAGAAACCACTTTAATAATTTGGCTCAGTTTCTTTTGGATGAAAAACACTCTCGAAATTCATCAATAAAAGTAATCACAAAGTCTTAAGACAATATCTCTGCAATCTTAGAGTTCTCACCAGCGTACGGTTCAAGACTGAAGCGATAGCAAGTGCTGACCTTATTTGTTTCATCTGAAGAAAATTTTCAAAAACATAAATTATATGAATAACCACAGAGGATTTACACTGCAGATGCTAGTTCTAAAGTAAATCATACATACTTGGTAATTAATAAGAGAAAAGTGTGATTTGAGGTTATGCTCCCCATCCAGTAACAATCTCTTAGGAATAGAAGGTTTAAATGACAAGAATCCTCCTGCATAGTTCCTTCAATAAGTTAGCGTGCAGCATAAATCATGAAATAGATGTCTTTAAAGAAAATGTCAAGATCCAAATTTCATTGACTTGATCTTCATTGTTTGAAAAGTTGAACTCGCTGTAGGCAATACTGCCCCATTTGTTTGAAATGGGATTGAAGATAGAAGTTAAAATGTGTTTATTCAGTATAAAATTCAAAATTCCCCCGATAAACTTGGTGATAGTTCATTCAGCACCCAATCTTAACCAACACATGAAATTATGATAGGAGGTATATTAATATAAGAAAAGCATCCTATATTTAGCTACAGGAATAGCTGTGGAATTATGTACTTCATGAGTTGTGGAGAATCAGTACACACAAATCCTCTGTCCTATGAAGTCTTAACCCTGACATATCCAAGGAGAAATAGAACAATAATGTATCCATACTTTATGTTACATGGACCATTTCCTTCATCCTAAAATGCCCATGTTGCAAATGTTTGATGACTATAATCCATATGGGATAGATCCCTTCACCTTACATGATTGAAAACTTTAGCATTTTCATATCAAATTGATAAATATAACAAAGCCAGCATGGTGAAAAAACTGTCTTAAACTGTAATTATCTAAAGCTATAGATCAATTTTGAGATAAAAGGGATCCTGACATCAAATCTACAGAACAGCAGGCACAGAAATACCTGATGATTTATATTTTTCTAGAAAACATATAATACTAATATAGCTACTAACATCATAGCTGGTACAAAATTACCAGGAGCATCATAGTATTCTGGTGGATCATAGAAAACCATGGCTTCCCGCAGTCGATGACGCTTCCCTTCAGTACCGGCATACTGGAATGTAGTGTGCACTGCATAAGGCTCCAGCCTTAATTGCTGATACATAGCCTGCCAAAAGCATTAGGGCTTAAGACAAGCTTGGCGCATAACATATGCAGCTACTCGTTAACAAGTACAAGCAAGATAATTAAAGTTCAACAGGACATACATGTAAAATATATAAGCAAAGAGACTAAATTTAACAAAATCAGTAAAATGAAAACGGGATGAGACTATCTAAATTGCTGAGCACTAGCATAAAGATCTTACCTGAA